GTATTTTATTAGGACTATAAAAGTAAATATTTTTAAGATTGTCTTATATTTCATGTTACTGATTGAAAGGTAAGTGATCTCATTACCGTTATTATTTGTTAGACTTCTCCCAACAGAGTAAAAGCTTTACCATGGCTGTTCTGCCCTTCCTCCACCCCAGTTTGCTCTGTCTTATAGTGGCATTTTCACTTTCCAGATTGTGGTTTGGTTTTTTGTTTGTTTGTTTTTTTAAAAAGTTCAAAATTAAATTAGCTTGTTCACAAACATCAGTGTCTTTGACACAGGAAGACAGTGAAGTGCATTCCGGGGAGGATGAATTTGAGTTCAGGGCAAAACTGCTTTAAAATTACCACTGTTTTTCAGGACGCTGATTTTTGTTCCTGATGATCTTACATTTGAGTCTTCTACTCTTTTGGGATGAGTCTGTCTTGTATTTATTCCATGCAGTTACTAACTTTGTATTTTTTTTTCTTATTACTGTCACCTGCATTCGTGCTCCCCACCTTTCGTTGGCACGTCCTCTCCTCTTCTCCCCTTTCCTCAACCCTACCCCTTCACTGTGCTTCGCACCTGGGCACTTCACAAGACGTGGAAGATGTTAAATTTGTGATAAACTACGACTATCCGAACAGCTCTGAAGATTATGTGCACCGTATTGGCCGTACTGCACGTAGTACCAACAAAGGTACTGCCTACACCTTCTTCACACCAGGAAACCTGAAACAAGCCAGGGAGCTTATCAAAGTGTTGGAAGAAGCCAATCAAGCCATCAATCCAAAACTGATGCAGCTTGTGGATCACAGAGGAGGAGGAGGAGGTGGTGGAGGTAAAGGCATATGGGAAAAGGGCTACACAGGGAATAAGTTCCCCATTTTGAGGGAGGGAAGATCAAAAGAGGGTAGGGAAGTAGTAAATACAAGTCTAAGGTAACAGATTAGTAATAAAGGTGTTTTTCACCTGAGGTCTCAACCTCGGGTCTTACGTAGGTGGAGTATTTCTGTCCAACAGAGAGGTAGTTTGCTGTTTTACCTTTGCTGTAGATATTTTTTTTCTCCTGGTAAGGTCCTCACAGAGCTAATTTTACTTGAATTAATTAATCCCTTGCAGCTTCTACTTAAGCAAAGACAACAGGATGTGTGTGCATGCATGTGCAAAATTGAAATCAGTAAAGGGGTACACTGACTTTACCTTCAGGGACTGAAACTATTTTTCCTCCCATTCCCTGAAGGAAGAATAAGTTTCCTTATATTTCCAAGCTAGTCCTGAATTTCTTCTGTTTCTTTGTCTTCAAGCACATGCATTAGAACCCTTTTTGATCTTCGTATTTATACCTTCCAAAAAATGAAGAGATTTATGTGCAACTGTGCAGGGAACTTTCAGTCAAAAGAACTTGCTCCTTGTGTGCAAAATTGTGGATGTAGAAGGGGGATAAAGGGTGGTGTAATTGGACCAGAGTTCGTTGTTTAAGACTTGTTCATGGTACTAAATCTTAATATATTCATCGCCAGGAGGTCGTTCTCGTTACCGAACGAGCAGTTCAGTAAACAACCCTAACCTGATGTACCAGGAAGAGTGTGACAGGAGGCTCCGGGGAGTGAAAGAGGGCCGGAGAGACTCAGGTGGCTTCAGAGACCGTGAGCGTGGTGACAGTTATGCCAACGGAGCCAACAAGACCTATGGCAGTGCCTACGGGAGCCCAAATTCTGCTTTTGGGGCAGCACAGAGCCAGTATGGTTACACTCAAGGGAGCTATGGAGCAGCTGCCTATGGCACGAGTGGCTATGGCACTGCAGAGTACAGTGCTAGTGGCTATGGTGCCAGCACCACAGCTGCCACCGCTGGGAGAACCTCACAGAGCACTACCCAACAGCAGTATGCAGGGATGGTGGGGCGCTCGGGCCAGCAGCCACAGCCGCTCATGTCACAACAGTTTCCGCAGCCCCCTGCCACTAATGTGATGGGCTATATGGGACAGACTGCCACCTACCAGTACCCGCCCCCTCCCCCCTCACGCAAATGAGACCACTCACCTGATGGTGACCAGTGTAGACCTCTTGCATTTAAAGGAACCTTTTCTTTCTCTTCTTTCCCATTGTGATGTCTCTCATGCGGGTTAGATTTAGAATTCACACTCAGATCCCTTGAGCCCATCAAAAATGGCCCCCAGTCCACATTACTGACCCTGTCCTCTTTTTTTTCTTTTTCTTTTCTTTTTTTTTTAAGAGATATATATAGTTGACTGGAAAATTTATTATTTTTTGTCTTGCATGTTGAGGAAATTGGAAATTTTATTTTCTCTAAAAGAAATGGGTATAAGGCAGATAGGTCCCAGCTTGATCATCTTGGTGTCTAAGGTTTGTGTGAAAACTTACTTTTGAGGGGAGGAAATTTCTATTCTGTAACATGTTAACTTAATTTCAGGAAGTATCAAGAGAGGTGGGGAAACTGGGGAGCCAAAAAGCACTTAATTTAAAATAAATGCAAGGGAGCAATGCTCACTTCTCCTAATCTTAATTTTTATTTTTTTTTAAATAGCTCACTATTATTGCTTGTAGTCTATCACAGGTGACTTTCTGTAGGAAAACTCTATTCATTTGTCTGAGCTGGGCGGTGTTCAGATTAACGCCCCAGGTACATCGTTGGTGTTTACTGCAGCTCTGGAGGCAGCGGTCCCATCTTCTGTTACTCATAACACCCTGCAGTAGGGAAGTTGAGATTACAACCCCAGTGTCAGAGACCAAACCTATATTGGATTTAATAACCTGAAAACCAGATAGTTGCTGTAGGTACTGCTGCTATAATTAGCCCAGTGAATTCTTTGTCTAAAATTGTTAAAACTGCAGTATCACAAATATGAAGGCTGGTTATCCTTAGATTAGTTTCTGCTCTCAAATTACTGTTGGGTTTATTGAGAGAAGTCTTATTTGAGAGCCCAGAAACTGAACAACTGAGATGATGAACAGTGTGTCTTGTTTGTCCTTCATGAACAAACTACATTTTGCCACGGGGAATGTTCTGAATGCCGCTATGCTGAATAAAATGTGACAGGAGTTTTCCACACTTAAATTGAAGATGTTTGAATAAGGTGGGCTGGGCGAAGGGCGAGGAGAGGAGGAGGAGGAGATTGCCTGGAATCTCCTTTTCATGAGGTAAGCGGTGAGCTGGTTAGTGCATCTTGATTCTGAAGCTTTATTTCTTTGTACCTTGCTCTGACTATTGCTTTTTCTGGCTTTTGAGTGCATTTCCCTGCTCCATTGGTCCCTTTGAGCTGAGCTCTCGCAGGTAGGTAGCATTTTAGAAAATGGTAGAGAAGAGTGAAATTTTAGTAAATACGTAAATAAAACTTGTTTATTTTACAGGCTAAGGTGGGTGTGAGGGGTTTTCCCCTTTAGTAAAGCATGTTGTTATTTCTAATACCAGACGGTTCAGAGACAGTAGATAATAGCAGGAGTTGGCTGCTCTTGATCTGATAATATGACAGAAGAATGGATACATCTCCTGGTTTGATAGGCATAATCTTTGCATTATGAAAGTGCAGGGTTTGGGCGTTTTTTTTCAGTTGGCATTCTTGCATGTGGATGAACAAGGCAGCCCACTACTTCTGTAATAATGTGGAACTTCTTACAGCCCAGGAAAAGAGTTTGCTTATGAAGAAGTTATTTCTTTTTAAATTTAATTTCTTCCCAGAGCAAAATTTTGGGGGATGAATGCAAATTTTTTTGTGTGCAGTACACAGGTAGGTTGCTGACATGGGGAACGGGGAGAGATCTTCCAGAACCTTGGTTCCCTTGGCCCATCTTCTAATTCCAGTGTTTGGGTGGGAAGTTCCTTTGCTTGTGTTAAGTGAAAGCCAGAAACGTCATTTTTCCAGGCACTGACTGACTGATTTGTCTTTGGCCTCTGTCACAAGCAAGTGTAGAGCTTCTTTAGCTTCTTTTTTTTTTTTTTTTTTTTTTTTTTTTTTTTTTTTTTCCCCTCTAATTTGTGAGTTCAATGCAGAAATGTGTTTGAGGGGTATAGGAGTAGGACATCTCACTGACTGGCTTTAAAAGGGTCTCTGGACTGCTAAAGCTGCCTTTAGTCTGCTATAGCTTTCATTTCTTTATGGGGGTAGACTTGTGCACATGTAAACATCTATGCCAAGTCTTGCAGTGCTTTATTGCCATAGAGGTCAGCTGAAGTCCAGGGTCTCAGTTCAGAGTGTTAACCAGACTGTTGAATGCATAAATGCACCATGGCGTGTGCTGCCCTGTCCCACCTGGTGCTTGCTGCTCTGTTCCATATACCAGCTGGAGGGCCCTTATTGATAAAGCATTAGCATCTAGTATTGTTTGCATTGTTTTCAATCTGTAAAAGTTTGTGGGAGTGTCAAATGAGTTGGGTGTCTCCTCCCCTCCCACTTCCTGAAGCAATTTACTGTTTGAACTTCTCTGAACGATGGAAGGGTTAGTGGCTTTGTGTAGGATCAGCATCTTATTCCATACACCTGCTGGTCTCTGAACACATTCCTGTTGTATTAATGAAGACTTGAATTGAGAGATTCATAGATCTGTGGTGTTCAGACACAAGATACTAAGAGCAATGTTACTATTCTTAGTTTGTAAATTGTCCTTTTGATACCATCTTGTTTTCTTTTGTAGGTATAAATAAAAACACTGTTGTCAATAAATTGTGAACTTGTCTTTATTTTTGGACTGTAAAGCCGTCTTTGCCCCTGTTCTTCCCAGTTCTTAAAGTCGAATTCAAGGAGTTGGAAACTCTTGTTGGCAGCCCACTGAATTTTAATTGAAAGGGTCCCTGTTTGTAAAATACAAGGAAAAACTTTCACTGAATGAGTGCGTGGGGAGAATGTTTAAATACTTGTGGAATTGGATGATTGATGTCATTAGAAGGGAATGTATTTTTCCTGAATGTTACAGGACCTGAACAGAATGAGGATCAGGCAGAGTTAACTTTCAGGAGAGTGTCAGTTCATGCAGAGTTAAATTAACAGTTTGTATCATCTGCTGTGTCAGATGTGGCCATGTGTAAAATGGGTCAGTGGCCTTTGTATATGTTGTATCCAACCATGTTTCCTTTATACTATAGGCTTAAAGGACTGAAGGACTAAAGGTAGTGACATTTCCCTTAGACTCCTTGTGCTGCCTCAGGAATCAAGGTAGGAGGTGTGTTTTGGAGGTAGGTGCTGGGAAGAGCTGGGAGAGAATAATTTGCACTACTTCAGTATTGGCCAGCACTACTTACTAGCACCAAATTCAAGTAAGAAAAAAAAATATATAAAAAAAAGGGAAAGTCTCATATGGATGAAAAGCATATCAGCTTTCCAGGCCTCATCATCTTCCTGCCAATGGAGTGAAACTCAGCTGAGCCATCCATTAGTTGAAAAGGGCCAGGAAAGGAAAGCTGTGATCTTAAGAGCTTCATCTTCAGAATTTCTTGGGTTGTCTGTGGAAATGTCTTCAAACAGGCATGGGAAGACTTAGCTTCTTTCCTTTTAGAACTGTGCAAAGAGAAAAAGAAGGGAATGAAGGTATTTGGGGGAATTCAGCTGGTAGATTGTTTCAACAATTTTTTTTTTTTTACACTTGTTAATTAGAATGCTAGATAGTGGGTTGCCAGGTTTGCAAACAGCAATGAGATAAAGGCTGTCAAACTTTCTCAGGTATCCATGTGCTATTGTAGGCTAGTAGGAATAGAGCTGTGCTGTCTTCAGGTAACACAACTGCTTGTCCTCAGTTATGACAGTGTGCTAACAGCTCCAGGGGATCCTGTTCATTGTGGAATGAGCATCTAGGAGCATTTAGCAAGAAGGGAAAATCCTGAGAATGGAAGAATTTATGATCTTTGATGGGAGACAGCCACTACAAAATTTCTTCAAAGGGGGGGAAAATCCACAACTTATTTACGCTAAAAGGAAAGGGTCTTGTTTCTTCTTCATGGTTACTCTCAAGCATGGACCCTATTAATTACCCCCATTTGTTCTTAATGATGTAGGATGGAGTCTACTGTTCTATCCCCAGTGCTTGCTCCCTTCTTTTAATAAATAATATGGCCTGAATAAAGTCTGTGGTCAGACCTGCCCTGAGTCTGCCCCATCTCACCTGATCTGGAAGCTGGGATGGGAGGCCCCTTGGGAATGCCAGGGGCCCACAGGTTTTGATGGGGTGGATGGACAAGTGGCTGATACCTCAGATGGGGGCAGAGGGACCATACCAGGCTGGAGAAATGGTGTGGTGGGGACCTCATGAAGGTCAGCAAAGGGAAGTGTCACATCCTGCTCCTGAGGTGGAACAACACCATGCACCACGATGTGCTGGGGGCTGCCCAGCTGGAAAGTGGCTTGTCAGAAAAGGCCCTGCATGTGCTGGTGGACGCCAAGTTGAACAGGAGCCACCAATGTGCCCTTATGGCAAGGAATCCAAACAGCCTCCTGACCTGCACTGCTGGCAGGTTGAGGGAGGTGGTCCTTCCTCTGCTTAGCCTTGGTGAGACCACAGCTGGAGCTCTGGGGTCCCAGTACAAGAGACAGGGGCATGCTGGAGCAAGTCCAGAAAGACCAGGAGGGTGGTTAAGGGTCTAGAGCATCTGGTATAAGAATGCAGGCTGAGAGCTGAGACTGCCTCAGTCTGGAGAAAGCTGAGAGGGATCTTACTCCTATGTATAAATGCCTGATGGGAGGAGTAAAGGAGACAGATCCAGACTGCTTGGTGGTGCCCAGTAACGGGGCAAGGGGCAATGGGAAATTCCACTTCAGCAAAGAAAATTTTTTACAGTGAAAATGATCAGACACCAGCACAGGTTGCCCAGAATGGCTGCGGTGCCTCCATCCTGGAGATACTCAGAACTTGTCTGGACAGGACCTTGAACAACCTGCTTTAGGTGACCCTACTGTGAGCAAGGGGTGGATGAAATGGTCACCCTAGTTGCTTCCAACCTCAGCTGTTCTGTGAAATAAAAGCTTTTGGGAGCTGAAAGCTTCCTCGGAGTATCTTTCAGGTCCTTGTGTTAAACAGAAAGGAGCTCATCTAGTTCTGAAAACAAGATAAAGAGAACTTGCATTCTATAAAAATCCCTTTGCAATGCTCTGAAGTCTTATTAAATACATTTCTTTATATAACACATCTTTGCTTTTTTTTTTGCAGCATCGCTGCCCTTTTGTCTGAGCTCAGTGTTAGAAATGTTTTGAAAAGTTGTTGTTTTGGTTTTTTTTTGCAAGAGTGTAAGAGAGATGCCACCTGCTATAATATTGCTGGTTTTCATAAATGACTGCAAAGCATTTGCATATCTTCAGACCCCTTTTCTCTCATGATCCAGAACATTGGTTAAAAAAAAAAAAAAAAAAAAAGCAATTCTCTTCCTGCTCTGATGTCCCAGGGACAAATGTTTTTTCTTCTGCCTCCTGTGTCATCTAAATTTTTCAGCTCTATCACTAGTGATGTGAGACTGAAAGCCAGCGGTTGTTTTTTTTCCCCCTTTTGTTCCACTATCCACAACTACAAAGAGTGTGGATTTCTCACAAAAATACAGGACACGGGATATATGAATTGAGTGAAGCTAAAATGGGAATTAGTTTAAAAAAAAAAAAAAAAAGGAATTGACGTAGAACACCTTGATCTGAGTTTTACAAAATACTCTTCTGGCTACAAAAATGTTTTAATGACAGAAGGAAGTCTTAATCTGCCAAGGCCAGACACCTGCTCTCTATCAGCAGGTATATTGCATGAAGCTACCAAATATCCATTCCTCAAAACATCAAACGTGGGCCGTCACTACTGCTTTTGGCAGACTAGTTCAGGAATGTGAAGGAAGAAAATACTTGTTCACCCAGCTTAGACTTTATCAAATTCCATCCTCCTCAACAGTAAAGTGTTTTAAAGCGTACTTCAGCTGCAGCAAACCATAGCACGTTCTACTGGATTTTATGCCCTTGATGCACTTGTTAGCTCTGGTATGTAGCCATTTACCAAAGCATGGCACTGAAGTGGAAGGGGCATCTGTTTTTGGGAAACAGAAAGGGCTGCTTGTCCATGCAGATGCCTGTCTTCCTACAGAATCAGTTCTTGAGAATGTTACATCTTTTCCGTCAAAAGAAAAAGTAGGCTTAATAATATCTCCATATGTCTGCACTTGCTTTCTCAGGTACATTGTCTGCCTACAGCTATTTTTTTTTTCTGCCTCAAAAGTTTTTTCTGTGTGATTCATAATCTTTCAAAATGTACGTAGAATTGAATATACTCCAATTATTACTTTCCAAGGTGGAGTTAAACCAGGCTTTGCTCTGGTTTAATTTATACTTTGTTTCATATGCAGGTCTAGAGCCTTGTGAGCAGAGATGCCCAACTTGCATTCAGAAGATACATTTTTTAAACTGGATTTTAGGTGGACAATATGCATTACAAATACAGCAAAGAATAAACGCACATAAGGATTAACGTGTGGCAAGCTGCAGCTCCACTGTACATTGCAGTGAACACTTCAGTTGTATACCAACCTATTTACCTACCTTTGGTAACATAGAGATAGAAGAAGTCACAGTAGAAGATGGTTTGTACTACCCCAGAAACTACAGCGATCTGGTCATAGAAATTCTCTGTGTAGTAGCGCCAGACCCAGTTGGCAATGTAGAGAGCACGGTAGAGGCCCAGGAAGAAAAGGTAGTGCGTTGTGATGGTCTCTGCTTCTCCTGTCTTGCTGATCATGAAGAGCTGAGGAAGGATAGCCACGGACTCCAGGTAGATGGAGAAGGTCCAGAGTATCTGTGAGATGCAAAATGAAGGCAGTGGAGAGTCTTGGTACTGGTTAATATACAGAATCAGAATCACAGAATCATCTAGGTTGAAAAAGACCTTGAAGGTCATCCAGTCCAACCATTAACCTCACACTGACAGCTCCCAGCTACACCTTATCCCTCAGCACTATGTCAACCCGACTCTTAAACACCTCCAGGGATGGGGACTCCACCACCTCCCTGGGCAGCCCATTCCAACGCCCAACAACCCCTTCTGTAAAGAAATGCTTCCTAATGTCCAGTCTAAACCTTCCCTGGTGCAACTTCAGGACATTCCCTCTTGTCCTATTGCTTGTTACTTGGTTAAAGAGACTCATCCCCAGCTCTCTGCAACCTCCTTTCAGGTAGCTGTAGAGGGCGATGAGGTCTCCCCTCAGCCTCCTCTTCTCCAGACTAAACACCCCCAGTTCCCTCAGCCGCTCCCCGTACGACCTGTGCTCCAGACCCTGCCCCAGCTCCGTTGCCCTTCTCTGGCCACGCTTGAGTCATTCAATGTCCTTTTTGTAGTGAGGGGCCCAAAACTGAACACAGGAATTGAGGTGTGGCCTCACCAGTGCCGAGTACAGGGGTAAGATCCCTTCCCTGTCCCTGCTGGCCACGCTATTGCTGACACAAGCCAGGATGCCATTGGCCTTCTTGGCCACCTGGGCACACTGCTGGCTCCTGTTCAGCTGGCTGTCAATCACCCCCCAGGTCCCTCTCTGACTGGCAGCTCTCCAGCCACTCCTCCCCAGGCCTGTAGCGCTGCTGGGGGTTGTTGTGGCCCAAGTGCAGCCCCTGACATTTGGCTTTATTGAAACTCTGCAGTTGGCCTCAGCCCATGGCTCCAGCCTGTCCAGGTCTCTCTGCAGAGCCTCCCTACCCTCGAGGGGATCAACACTCCCACCCAACTTGGTGTCATCTGCAAACTCACTGAGGGTGCACTCGATCCCCTCGTCTAGATCATCAATAAAGGTGTTAAACAGGAGTGGCCCCAAAACCGAGCCCTGGGGGACTCCACTCGTGACTGGCCGCCAACTGGATTTAACTCTTAGCACGTTAAGACCCAAAGCTTTTCACTTGGCAGAGAACAATGTGTGAGTGGGCTGAGTAGTGCTGCTGGAGTTTGGGAAAATGAGCCTGCAGTGCCGGGACTGAGACGAGACAGCGCTGAGCTGTTCTGTAGATGGTACAGTCTTCAAGGCCTGCCAACCTTGCCTTTCTTGCCTGCTTTTGCTGTTAAAAATTTCAACTATTCAATGTGCTGCTCACTCTGCTGCCTGGTGTCAGGCTGCTACTTCCCCTCCCCTTCCCTGCTTCAGGTTTCCCTTACCTCCAAGGGGGTGAAGCTGTGGTTCTCCAGAAATGACAGGCCTGTGACAGGGACTAGTAGGAACTCAAGGCGAAAGGAGTCATTCTCACTGTCAAACGTTTTCCGGAATTTCACGTAGATCATGTACACGGTGATGTAGGCACATATCAAAAAAATTACCTGGGGAAGGGAAGGGAGACAGCAAAACCTTACCTGCCATTACACCTTCTGGGTTGAAGAGAGGACGGCTTTGATGAAGTCAAAATCTCTTAATGTGGTTCTGGTGGGGCCGTAACAGGGCGAGACAGTGGTGAATGCTTTTTCTGTGCTGGCTTGTGGATTGTCTTCTGCTGGAGATAGTCCAGCAGTCAACTAAAGATTGCCCTACCATGAGGATTACACTTGTTTAAGCCCTCTAAGGCTCTGTATGAAGAAGTTGGCTTGGTGGCAGCCATCTGTTAATATTCCTGCTGTGCAAGGACACCCAGGCCTGATTTGTGTCATCTCATTCTGGTTTTGTTGGTACTAAATGTGGCGGACTCTGCTCACTCACTGGTTTTTGTTGTCAATGGAGTGCCAGTGACACCAAAGGAAGTATCTTTATCCACCCTTCCTGGCTGAAAAACTGACTTAGTGACTGTGTACTGTCACATCCCTGAGAAACCATAGTGAGCTGAGGGGAGCCTCTGCTTCTGCACTGCCCTCTCCTTACCTTCATCACAGTGTTGTAGACAGAGATGAAGGTCGTGAACAGGTCCAGATAGCGGGTTGTGAAGACGAGGGTGAAAAGAATCTGACTCTTCCCAGAGATACCTGCACGGCAGGGAGAAAAAAGGAGGTAATGCAGATGGAAGGAAGGATGGTGGTTTCCCTTTGTGCCTTATTTGGAAGTGGTGTATATACGTGTGTTGCTTTGTGAGCCGTGTCTGGCATGTAGATGCTATGGTAGCTCTAGACCTATCCCAGGACTGGCTGGAGTCTCTCAGGAAACAGGGCAGGCTCCTGCTGACACCTTTGAGCCCTGCCTTGGGTCGTAGGGACCAGCACTTGGTGGGCATGCTCACTGCTTTGGCCAATTGAGTCCTTACTGTCATCAAAATGCCTAATGATCTTCCCTCCCTTGCCCCCTGTGCCTGCCCACCTCCCCAGGGGTGTGTGACATGACATCTACCACATGAGGGAAGAGCTGCAGGATCTGGGACCAGCCCAGGGATGCTGATGAAGCTTAGTCACCACTGGCAGGGAGATGCAGTCAGACCCACCCATTTCTCTACCTGTGATAATGGCTGTGGTGCTGCAGCCCAGCCCAAAGTCTCTTGGAGTTGAAACTATGAACTCTGAAAAAATCCTCCTGCAGGAAGCTGCTTTCCTGATTTCCTCGCCCAGGGACAGGACAGCCTTTGGTACCTGCCCACCCACTGGAAGGACCCCCGACCTAAAGCAGGTCTCCCTCCAGGTTGTTGGTATTGGTGCCACCACAACTTCTTGTACTCATTTTCCACCTCCCTCTGGCCTTGCTGCCCTGTCCTTCGCTTCACCACCCCAAGACCAACACCTGCCCGAGGCTGTGCACCTTGCCACATCACATCCTTCCAAAACAGCCCTCTCCTCCTGTCAGGGGGACCTCCCAGAGAAAAAGGAGCATGGCTTCCCTCGAAGAGCCCACTGGGGAGGGCTGCCAGCTTGTGTGGGCTATTTCTAGTCTTTTCAGCACCCATTTTGCTTGCGCCCTGACCTCCAGGAAGGGCCCCCCTCCTTCCCAGGGGTGTGGGAGCACTCACCGGCGCAGGACTTGGACTTCAGGATCTTCAGCAGGAGAATAATGATGGCCAGTAAGTGGGAGACGTCCCCCAGGATGCGGAAGACGTTCATGGTGCCAGGGGGGTCTCCTCTAGGGTGAAGGGAGCAGGGCGCTTTCTGTGGGCAGGGAGGGCGAGGGCAAGGAGCTTTTCTTCCCTAAGCCTCAACCCAGCAAATGCTCTCCTGTGGCTCAACTTTACTTTTCGCCTGAGTATGGAGCCCTCTCTTCTGGCAGAGAGAAGTTCAGGCTCCCCTCTCCCCTGGCTGTGAGTGCCTTTCCGCTGCCAGGCACTCAAGCTGGATGTCTTCCTTGCTTACTTTTCCCCCAAGGGGGATTTTCTCTCCCTGCCCCAGGGCCTTCCTCTCCCTGCTCCGGGCGAAAGTTGGGGTTTGTCCTCTGGAGAGCCCCAGGCTGAGCCCCGCTGAGCAGCCCTGAAGCCAGTGCTGGGTGATGGTGACGTGGCTCCTGGCTGGCTGGGGAGGAGAGAGAGGAGGAGGCAGAGGCGGGAATAACAGTGCTATTTTTCCCTTTTTCTTTTTTTCCCTTCCTCTTTTTTCTTCCCCAACTTGTCTCAAGTTACATGCGGAAGTGTCGTTAAAGGGCAAAAGGCAAAGGGAAAGGGATCCTCATCCTCTGGCCTTGGGAATGCACTTTTCTGCAAGGGCCAGGCTTTCCATTCCCCACGGGTGCTTTAACCTCTTGTCTTGCTCCCAGCCAGCAACCTTCTGCCCCCTGCCCTTCCGAGCCCCCTGCTGCCTCCAGCACCTTCTCCCCAGTGCTCCACCTTGTCTCCTGGAGCAAAGAAGGAGGAAGAGATCTGAATTATCGGACCATTGTGGCTGTATGTCATACCCCACTTCCACAGTGGGTCATGCACAGCCATTCCCCAGCAGCCCTGCCACCAGGCACCTCTGCCTTCAGGTGTCCTGTCTGGAGTGTTGCAGATCCCAGAGCCCAGCCCCGGAGGAAAGAAAAGATCCTCCCAAGGGCTGGTTTGAAACAAACTTTGCTGAAAATAATAATCCTGGATTCCTGCAAGTGGATTGCAAACAATGTAATACACGTGTTGAGTGAAAGAAGCACATAGGTGCTACTGGTTTTATAGATTTAACAGAAAGCAGCTTAGTAGTGATGGTTATAAAGTTTTAATATATTCAGAAACATCCCTGGGTATTATCCTGCCCAGTTGGGATAAACCTTGTCCTTGCAACAGTGGTTATTCAGGGAGGTCTCATGTCAGTGGCAGGGGGACCTCTGCATCGGGACAGGGACATGAGATATTCATTATCTAATCACTAATATAAAGTTGCTTTAATACAACCAAATAGATGTTTGAATTTGTCACGTCATGCCCCAGCAAATCACATCTGGCTGTGGGTCTAATTTAGTTACTTGAGGGTTGCATGACCCCGCCTGCTCTTGCCCCAGGGCCAGCTGTGGCTGCTGCCCTGTCCCCAGTGGTCACATGAGGCCATATCCTCTGTGTCTCCCTGTGTCCTTAGGGCTCACTTGGAGTAAAACCCTTAATGATTAAAGTGTAAAAATATTATTCCTGGTGCTTACTGAGAGGACTAACAAGTCTATTAGCATCACCGGATTCCTTTCTGAATACATTTGCATATATTTCCTCCCTGCCCATTAGGCTGGCTGCTGTGTTCTCCCTCTCTGCCACTTCAGCACCTGCCACACCGGGCTTTTCCAGCCGCGTTCCCAGGCTGGGCTGAAAACCACCCGCTTGGCCCAGTGAAACCAGGAAGGGCCCTGCCTGCCTTTGGCCAGGGCACCGAGGCAGAGATTGGTGTGGTGGGAGAAGAGCAGGTTAGACCAAAGGAAAGCTTTAGCAAAGGAGCGACAGGGTAGGGACTGTCTGAAATCAGGTTTCCAGCTGCTGGAGTAGAGCTGCCTGGGGTTTCAGCAGGGCTCCACAAGGCTGTGTGGGTGCTGGCCCAGCAGGTCCCTGGTGTTTCAGGTCCTTTCACAGGTGTGCAGAGAGAAGGCTGAGCTCTGGAGCAGAAATGGGAGGTTTTGGTGGAAGATTTAGGGTCCTCTTTTCCAACAGATCCCCTTCCAAGCCCCTGAGGTGTGATGTCTGAGAGCCCTTATCATCCTCTCATCCCTTTGCTCCTCTTTGCAGCTTCATGTTCCACCCAGTGGATGAAGCCTCCTGCAGAGGGGTAAAACTGTTGTGGGTGGCAAAGGTTTATTCTTTTTGTCTTGCACCTTTCCAAGAAGAGCTGACTGGCCCCAAGCCACGGCATTATCTCCTGCTGTGGCAGCAGGAACTGACATCCAAGGTGACCATCAGAGGGAGTTCACAGGAACAGCCCAACTGAGCTCACCCAGATGGGACATGGTGGTGGGTCTGGGGTCTCCCCATGGGACATCCCTGTGTGGCATGTGAAAGGCCCGTGGGAAAGCTGCTGGGAGGGTGAGGGGCACCCGGACACTTAAGAGAAGGGAAAACTGGCACACAAAGTGGGAGCAAGTAAAAATAAACCTTCTCTCCTCCCTCCCTGCCACAACACGAAGCGCCTTGCACCGGGTGTCTCCCTGCCTCCCAAAATAATGCCGGGTGCTGCCACCGCCCTGCATGGTGATGCTCTCTCTATGCCTCTCGTTTCCATGGCGACCACAAGGAATGTCACCAGGGTGACAGGGAGGCGAGCAAACTGGGATTTGGCATTAAAAATGAGAATTTGGGGTTGTTTGGTTTCTTTTTATTTTTTCCCCCCTTTAGTTCTATTTTTGGATTTCCCTCTCTGCCTTCACTGGTTTGGGAGGCTCCTTCTCCTGAAGAGCTCCAGGGCCAGGTGGTAGCAGCTCCATTGAGGGCCTTTCCCCACCTCCACCTGTCCTGCAAGGCAATGGTATGAGAAGAGGGGTGAAGGGAGTTTTCTTCTCACTAAAACATTTGTCTCTTGCCACCAGGAAGACTTCTGTGCTTTTGCCTCTGAAGGTGCTCAGCCAGGAATCCCCCTCCATTTCTGCTGCAGACTGTGGCTTAGGCTGCATCCAGAATCCCCCAGGAGGGTGGACAGCCCCCAGGATTCAACCCAGAGCTGTCCCAGAGAGGGAAGTGGTTTGACATTCCTGGAGGTGGGTTGAGCATAATGGGCCACCTCCATCTCTCGCCACCTCTGCCCCTGTGACCAGACAGCTTGGCTGAGGCAGTCCCAGGGCACTGGGGACAGAGATGGGACGGTTGGAGGAGGATGGCAGAAGGACTCTGAGAGGTGCTAAGGAGTCCAAAACTGTGTTGTCTGGTTTAAGCACTATGGTTTATGTCAGACCTGCCCAGGGCAGAGACGTCTTGAGTGTTTGTGCTGGCTTAGCTGATGTTGCAGGAAAGCAGGACCATAGGTGCCCAAGCAGGGGCTGCTGGCATAGGGGTTGCAGTTGTCTTCATCCCCAAGATGGAGAGGGGTCAGGCAGCACTCACTCACCTTCCCAGGAGCTCCTGCTTTCCCCTCCCTCCATTCGTCCCTCCATCCACTCCTCTATCCAACTCTCCAAACCTTCCTCCCTCCATCTCTCTTTCTCTCCATTCCTCCATCCCTCTATCCATCCCTCCACTGTTTCATCCCTCTGTCCCTCCATCCCTCTGCCTCCTGCATCCCCACAGCAGCATCGGGAAAGGTTGGCGGAGTGGGGCTATTTTTGGGAGCGTTTCCCTGGCAACGGCTGCCACCACCGTCTGTGGTGGCTTTTCCATAGGTGCTAAAATATTCCACACTTCTTATTAAAGACGGTGCCGGTGGAGACGGGCGGGGGTGGCGAGTGTGAGCCACCCCGCTGCCGGGGCCGGCGGGCCTGGGATGGCCAGGGCACTGCAACCCGGGGGCACAAGGACAGCGAGGGTCTGGTGGCATCCTCGATACAATGTCCCTATGTCCCTCCCGATGGTCCCAGATGTGCTGGCTGATTCTTGACCATGCCAGGGTTCTGGGCTGTGCACAAGGTGCCTCTTGCTGCCCAGGTGGAAGGAAACACAGTGAGGTCTTGCGGGGAGCTGATGATGAGGGCAGAGAGGGTGAAATGCAACCTGAAGCCAAGGAGGCTGCAGGGGTGGGCTGGTGCAGGGCAGTTTTGCTGACTCCATGAAGGAGCAGCATGTTCATCCCTTTACTGCACAAAAGGGAAAGGCCTGTCACAATGCCAGAGGGCTGGTATGCTTTGTCATAGGGCACCTGTGCAGGTGCCAGCCAGTAGCTCTTGGGAGGCAGCCCCATGGGGCCTGGGGACAGGGCTTTTGGGAGAGCAAGTCCCCCCATGAACCTGAACAAGGTCCCCACAGGGACAGCTGCAGAGGGGATGGAGGAAGCAGGCTGACCCTGCTCCATCTAGGCACTGCAGCTCCCCAGGACACCCAACTTCGAGCAGTGGGGAGCAGCTGAGGCAGTCTGGGGCAAGCTAGCTGATGGAGGAGCCTGATGCACTTTCCATTTGCAGCTGCTCATCTGCATGGAGACCTACTAAAAATACCCTCTGGTCCCCTTGGGGTGGCTTTGTCAGGGAACAGTGGGCTGCACTTGCCACAGCGGTGCTGGCCAATGCCGGTGGGGAGTGGCAGTCCCTGTAGTGTGTGGTGCCAGGGGGCATCTCCTGTGCCAGGGGATCTTGGGATGATTTTGGGAGGGAGGGTCATGATTGTTGCAGGCTTGAGGCCCAGGGGACACTCAAAAAGTGCTTTTTTGATCTTTATTGACTTTCCAGCACAGGCTTTAACACTGGGGATGGCAGATGAGACACTGAGATAGAAACAATGTGCATGGACCCTGCCGGCCTGGCGTGGGGCTGTCCCTGGGAGCCTGTGCCTACAGCCAGTGTCTGTGGGGTCAGAGCTCTCTTACAGCCTTCAGCTTTGCTGCTGCAGTGTCCCCCCAGCCCCTCACCTTGTCACCAAGAAGTGACCTCTTCAAAGCCCCTGAGATGCTGCTGGCCATGGAGACCCAGAGGAGGTTTCTGGGACAGGTTTCCCAGCAGGGAGGCCATGCACCATCCTGGAGGCCCAAGGGCTGGTCCCTCCTTGCCTGTGCTCCCATCCTCTGCACTGTCCATCCCGACAGGATGGCCCCAGCACTTCATGGTGGGGAGGTCAGGTTGTGGATGTGGGGAGGTGATGCCCCACAGCAAATGCTCTGCACGAGCTGGGAGAGCCTGGCCCTTTCGCAGGGTGAAGTGTCATCCCAGCACCCCAAATCTAGGTGGGAAAAAAAGCCCCAACAGCGGATATTTCAGGCCCTTGTGCCAGCCCGGAGGGAGGATTCGCCTCCCCGGGGCATCCAGTGGCCCCGCCGTCCCCTTCCCACTGCCGATGGTTGCGCTCTCTTCTCCCCCATGGCGGCTCCGCAGCGGTGCCTCCGCGGCTCTGAGCTCACACGCGAGGATGGGCTAAAGTAGCAGAAAGCTGTTGGATCCTACCACAGAGTTACTGACTTCTCAGCTACAGACTGCAT